AACTTCGCAATGTGCGTTTTTTTGTTGAATCCGATAGTATGGACCACTTAGAGATTGATAAAAGTCATTCGGTTACTTAAAGTTATTTCGTTACTTTGCTACAAGGCGTTAAATACTAGTATTATTAAATACAATGTGATTGCGGTCCTGCAAATCGGTACTTTTGGATCTATGACGTCATGATGTTCTTTATCAATTTCAATGTATCCTATATCATTAAAACGCTTATGAAATTTCCTTAACTATGATACCAAACTTATTGTGATGGTGAAATCATGGAACAGGCGCCACGCCTGGGTCGCAGAAATAAATTTCAACACCAATCGGTCAACAATAACCTAACACTCCATAAGGAGCTTTGACATACGTCGAGCAATCACAAAACTCAGAATTGGATGTCACAAACTCAGTATAGAAACCGGAAGATTTCAAAGGCTTCCTATTGACCAGAGGGTTTGTCCATTCTGCCCAGAACTAGTTGAGAATGAGTATCACTTTTTGATGGAATGTCCTAAGTATGTTGATGTACGCAATTCATTAAATACGAAACTATCGTCATATGTACCAGAATTTACATCGATGGATTTAAGTAGCAAATTTAAGATAATAATGACCTGTGATAACTCATGTATGGTAGATATAGGAATGTATATCAAACAATGTCTAGACATAAGAAATTCCTCCAATATTGTAAAAGTTCATTCACATCCTATATCAGCCACAAACTCCTGTATTAGTTAGTTTAGTCCATAGTTAAGTTTATAGATAAGTTTTGCCATACTTTGTACCATGTACAACTGTTGTGCAATAAAGTTATTATTATTATGATCCCAAACGAAACTTTCTGTGCATTTTCTGCAACAGTTGCCCTGTACTTTTGTACCACAATTGGATGCCGAAAAGATGGGTGAGAGCGCAGAACCAAAATAGAAGTCAGGGTTACCACAACACCCCTCAAATCACACCCAGAAGTTGACAACGTTATCAGATGTAAACTATCGGTCAATGAGCCACAAAAACTATATCAAATTGATCCTTATCTTTCAGTAAGTAAGATTTCACCGCCATAACCGGCCTTGTCTTGTTTATTTCTGGAGGCTAATATCTGCTCTCGTTCATCCGCCAACACTGTTCTCGGTCCCAGAGCAGTCTGCCGGGTTTTAGAAAACCCCGGAAGTGGAATAGAATATTCGACCGTTGGCCGGCCCTTCGACTGATTTGGAGATTGTTAAAAGTTATTTAGTTACTGACAAATATTCCCTTACTTTGCTACAACGCCTTAAATAGACCGCGGTTGCGGTCCTGCAAATCTTTATTAATTAATCTATGACGTCATGATGTCGAAACTTCGCAATGTGCGTTCGATTTTTTTGTTGAATCCGATAGTATGGACCACTTAGAGATTAATAAAAGTCATTCGGTTACTTAAAGTTATTTCGTTACTTTGCTACAAGGCGTTAAATGCTAGTATTATTAAATACAATGTGATTGCGGTCCTGCAAATCGGTATTTTTGGATCTATGACGTCATGATGTCAAAATGATGCAATGTGCGTTAGTTTCATCTGTTGAATTGGAATAGTATGGATCACTTAGGACTTGTTATTTGGTTGTTGAAAATTATTTTGTTACTTTGCTACAAGGCGTGCCATCTGTATGATTACAGTAGGGTTGCTATTCTTGAAAATCTGTATACTTGGATCTATCAATGACGTCATGACGTCAAGACAACGTGATGTGTGTTAGTGTTTTGGGTTGCATCTGATACAATGGACCACTTGAAGATTGTTAAAAGCTATTTGGTCACTGACAATTATTTCGTTAATTCGCTACACGGCGTTTGATATCATCAAATGCACCGCGGTTGCGTTTCTGGAAATCTGTATACTTGAATCTATGACGTCATGACCCAAAGACTACGCAATGTGAGTTAGTTTTATTAGTTAAATCTTATATTATGGACCTTTATAAGATCGGTAAAAGTCATTCGGTTATTGAAAATTATTTCTATACTTTGCAACAAGGCGTCTAATGGAAACACGTCGGGTGCAGTTCTGGATGGCAATCTTGAATCTGTGACGTCATGACGTCAAGATGAATTAATGTGCATTATTGATCTACTCAATCTGATAGTAACGACCACTTAAACATTGTGAAAAGTCATTTGGTTGTTGAAAATCTATCTCAACTTTCGTACGACACATTCATTCTTTAAAACCTTACACAATACTTTAACTTTCGAACGTAATCAGGTCGTGCGTAATGATTTGAATTGTACCGTATAGATGTCTTTGGGATAGTACAATGCCATTTGATGGTTGGAATTGTAATATAACGTTGCTGCATGTCCATCGCTTGTTTCCATATAAAAACATCGTTGTTGTTAGAGACCTGTGTTGTTTTTAGCATACGTCGATGTTGTGACTTGAATCGAATGGTTTGAGTGTAATTAAACGGAATTATTTCATATACTTCATATACTAGGAATGTATTCTGTAGGTTGAAACTCCATCATACTTCACCCGAACTACACAAACAGCTAATACTGTTAACTAGAAGGTTAGTTGAAGTTTTAACACACCAGTCGTTCTGACACAAAAAAAAAGCCACAAACTCATCACATGAAACCATCACCATTTATTTATTGTGGTAAAAGCAAACAGAACAAAACTCTTTTGATATCACCAGTATATCCATGACAGATTGAACAGAATGGCAACTTCTTTGTTGTTAATCGAAGATCAATCCATAGATTACAATGACTTGATTTATCGTTATGTGACAGAAAACAGTTTCAGCCATTTATCTACAAAGACAAAATGATCAACATCTTCTGCTCCAACTGTAAATTGTAACGCGTATGTGGTATACAACATTACGACTTTGCATGTACATGAAGGTGTTAGGTGATAAGATCATAGTATATACGTTTAAGTTTAGAAAGACCTTCCTCTGTTGTTATGTATTCATCTGTACAGATCCTGGGGTCAAACTTTTACTTATCGTTTCATAATAAATACAAATGCAAATAAATTGTTACATGCTCAGTAATGTTAAAACAACTATAATGCTAAATTAGCTCTCTATAATGAACATCATGTAGGCTGTAGCACTATATGCAGGTTGTAGACGTGTGCTACGAGATGTGGTGAGCATAAAGTTTGTCTTGTAAGAATAGATATTGCCTTTGACCTTAAAGCCACGAATACAATTTCTAGGCTGCACTGCAGGACTTGAAATCAACGTTTTTTCCTATTGTCCCAACACTGTCCCAAAAATAAATTTCAATTGTCCCGAAGAGAGGAACTGTCCCAACCTGTTTTTCGGGAAGTATTGTATAACTTTAACTTGAAGTCAACTTTATTGTGCTTATGTTCTGACTCCCAGACGCACTATAATTGCAGAGTAGACAGGAAATTCGGGGGGAATTTTCTGGAGCCACAAGCCGGGAAATGTGCCTGATAAACAAAAGAGGGGCTGACATTCTGATGTTCATTTGTTCCAAAAATGTCCCAAAGTGTCTAATTTTAGTTGTCCCGGCCTAAATTTAGTGTTCAGTGGCCATCCGGACACTGTTAATTTTGAGCCCTGCCCTGCACCTACGTACATCCTTATATGTCCCAATCCTATTGATTTTGATGTTCTTTCAAGTGGTTCCTAAAACGGATGTTGATATCTAAGTAATCACTACTTGCCCGTTGATTTTATCAACGTTTTTCACACGTTATTTGCCATTGGGAATTGGGAATGACCACCATGTGAAGTCAGACATTTATATACAGTGACAAAAAGATCAACATCTTTTGCTCCAACTGTAAATTATTGTAACGCATAGGTGTCATACAACACGACGAGTTGGTCATTGGTAAAATACCATGACCAAGATCATAGTACGTGTTAAGCCGTGTACAATATCTTCATCTCTGGTGTTATGCATGTGCATGTTCATCTGTACAGATCCTGCAATCAAAGTTTGTTTCGTTTTTAATGTTACATACCGGACATAATAAGACAGCTATAATGATAAATTTGGTATCAATGATGAACATCATGAAGCATCATCCAATGGTTGTAGACATGTGCTATGAGACATATTCGGTGATCATGAATTCTGTCTTGTTAGAATAGACATTGCCATTGGTTTTAAGGCCACAAAGTCAACTACCATCCAAGCATGTTCCAATCCCACAGATTTTGATGTTTGAAAGGAACACCATGGCGGTATGAAATATGCGATGTTATCACTGCAGCACAGTCAACTGGTTTTCAATTGCACCATTTCCCAACCTGGCTGGTTGATGTTACCAAGAGTATTTCTAACCAAGCAAAATAATTTGTATTTCAAGCTATATTCGTACTTGCAGAGAGACAGTCATGCACTATATGGTACGTGTAGCATTAAACCGTTAATTGTACAGCCCTTTACTTATAAAGAATAACACTTAATCTATCTATCACTTACTTAACGCAAAATGCTCTATTGGCACAGCGTCTACTTCTATAATGACAGAATGACCATCCAAGTCCATACGTTCTTGTCAATTTTAGGTAATTGCTAAACCCAAGTGTTTCCAATGATTTACCAGATGGACGTGGCGTGGTTTCTATCACCAGAAGGACATTGTGTGTCGGTATCTTCGTGCTTTGTTATAAGGCTACGCCAAGTAATTTTTATGGATGACATCAGTGCGTCATTGATTTCCACCCGATTTTGAAAGAAATAAAATGATGCCCTCCGACTGTGGCCAACATGCCGACAATATGACATGCATGATCATCCATCTTGTTCATTCTTTAGTATTTCATTTCCACTTTGACACGGTGTTAGATGTGATGTTGCCACTGAATCAAAACCATTAGGAAACTTTTATTTAGTCATTTTTTTCTCAAAGACAAATTAGATAGAATTCGCATTAAATTTGGTGTCTGGGAGCATGTCGTCCATAAAATGTACCTGCTGTGGCCTTTAAGTAATAATATAACAAAAACATAGTAGAGTAAATATATGGTTTTAATAGATTACATGTTCAAAAAATCTAAAGGGATGTGTATTAGCATCGTACATTACAATATACTAGTGTGGGGAAACTGTAAAAGACGCATCAGCGTAGCTTCTATTTCAACTTCAGAATCACTATTTCACCATTTCTTTCTTCTATTTTCTGGAATGACATGCTAAACTCAAGCGCAAAGCGCTCCCATCGGGTCACCGAATATACTTAGCATCTATCATCAGATAGCGGGGCACTGTGACACTGTATCAATGTATAAGATACAGGGTACAGAAACAATAAAACTACAATAGTTTCTGAAGTGATCGCTCGGTTATATGTGATCATAAGAAATATGTGCATGTCTAAATGTGTATGTGCCAACATCTTGCATCTTAGTCTAGGTAAAAGTTGTTTTAATGATGCCGTTCTATAGAATTGAAGATTAGTCTATTTTCTAGCACAACCTCAAATATCTCAAGACATCTTATTGCATCAAATGAACGCAATTTGACGGTAATAACACTTTATGGCAGTACATTGCGGTTCGTTAATTAGAATTCGAAAAGAGACTTCATTGTTTAAGGTGCAGACAAGGCAGGTTTGTAGGGTTTGTCTGTATTCATTGGCGTTGTTAGACAGCCTCAGATGATTTGTTTAGTTTTAACGTGTTAATCACTAATTGCAGCTTTTAGTCGTTTTCTATCCATTTCTACCTATTTATGACTACATAATCATTCCTGCGAATATGTTATTGTCGCAAATCTGTTCCTATACATTTGGGTTGCGGGTGTCACAATAAGATTTTTCTTTTCTGAATATAAGCAAAAACAGGTGGCTGCCATGTTATCAATTGCAAGTCAGATGGGCGTTATTTTCGTGACTACACGCAACAATGTGTGTAATGTGGGTTTGAGCAAGCATCACCTATGGCCAGGTTAAGTAAAATCGGCATCTAAGACACACACATAATGTCCTAAACATGTCAATCTGATGTATCGGACCTAGTAGCAAATACTTGGACCTCGCACAGGGTCAAAGGTCGGGACCACCCACCTACAAGACGAATGCCCACATACCGTCCCTGCATCCCTTCACACGGGACGGTAACGGACGGCTTACTCAGGTCGATGCGATGGTCTCCGCCACACTTGGGGTTCGTGGTGATCTGGTCGGAATCCCCGATGTAGATGTTGAAGGGGTTGAGTCGATCCCCACAACAGTCCCGGCGATTCCAGAGGACCACCCTATAACACGGAACAGTGACATTGTCATCCTTATGTTTTTTATATTGCTTTGTACTGATTTTCACACCAACGTACGTAACCAACCATTTTGAGTGAAAATGAAAAAACAAACACTCATGCATCTTAATACCTAAGCTTTTTTTTTGGTGTGTGTGTGTGTGTGGGGGGGGTGATCTCAGTGCCGAGGTGGGATTGGTATTTTCGCTGTTTGAACTTTGATACATAACTCGGGCCAGCATTTGTGATAACCGGCTACTAACGTAGTTGCTAGAAAAGTAGTACTAAACGACCAAATAGACTGAATAGCATGTTAGAGGGGTTAGACAAACCTCTAGCTGACTGACCCCGCTGGCATGCTATTCAGTCTATTTGTCAGTTTCAACAATATTATTTTTCCAGCAACCACGGAGTCTGGTAGAGGTTAAATCTCTTCCACCAATCAAGCCAATGGCGGTCTCTACCGATTAAAATCACCGATTCTGCCAGAAGACACGTACCTTTGAATCGTTTCCGATTTGGCAAGATCCACCCACCAAGTGGCGCCAACTTCGTCTTCGGTGTGAGTGCATGAACCCCCTCCCCAGTTTCCATCGGTGTTCCCGTCGACGGCGCGGTCTGCAGAACCTCCACCATCCCGGCCACTGCTCTGGTCCGCTGTCTTCCCTACCGCGACATTCACCTCTGTCCAAGGCGAGAGGATAATGATCAGCAGGGTCACTTTTACGACTCTAAAGTTAAACAAAATTTCTTAGGCTCCTGTCACACAAATAAATCCTTCCTTCCCCCGACATTGGCCCTGACCACGGACCACCCGAGGTAGGCGGTAGGTTGGGAGAAGTCTGACCATATTTCGGATCCGCCTATTTTTTGCGTTGTCCAGAATACAGAATACAGTAAAGTACTGAATGTCGATGTGTGATCAGTTCAGGATTGAATATTAAATAGATGGCTTGACCGTATTGCTCAGGATCAATCAGTCAAAACAGAACTCCAACAGCCGAAGTACTGTCACGACTGCGGTGGAAGGACATTAGTTCTATACATAGACACCAGAAGGCACTGTTAGTGTACAAGTCTCTCAACGGTCTGTTACCCGACTATATGAGACTAATGTTCACTTACTGTAGCGATAGGGCAGTCAGAACAACACGTCAAAGTGTATCAAACAGATTGCATGTACCGATGGTACATAGAGAGCTATACAGGAGATCGATAGCGTACTCGGGTGCAACGACATGGAACAGTTTACCACCAAATGTAAGAATAGCACCCTCAGTGGCAGCATTTAAGAACATGCTGCAATAATCCACTATGGAATTGATCAGGACTGGACCATAGAAACGATGCTGTGACTAGTGTAAGTTGTAATGAAATTGTAATACGATAATTTTGAAGCTATTGTGTTATCAGGACCCCTGGCCTCTCCCACCTTGAGCACTTGAAAAGCGGCTATGGCCGAAGTGTAATCTTTCAAGGCTACATAAGGTCGAAAAAAAATTCATTTGTATTTTACCTGTTGAGATTCCGTAGAAGTTCACATCTCGTAGCCACGGCTGCCAGCCTGAGGAGGTTCGCTTGACAGTAAATTTCCAATACCGAGCCGTTCCCTCGAATCCGTCAAATTCCTGGCGCTGGTTAGTCCCGACCCGCGCGTCAGTAACGGCCACGACGTCCTCCCAGTTGTACGGACTCCCAGAAAGCGACTTTTGCAAGGTGAAGGCTGTAACGTCATGTTCGGTGTCTCCGTAGTTGTTGACTGCGATGCGGGTCAGTTTGTGGGCCGCTTCGAGGTCCAGTACGATATACCAGTCGTTGTAGTATCGGTCCTTACCTACGGGATTCCAGTTTGTCGCTGTGTTCCCATCCAAGGCTTTTGCGGGATCATAGGTCACTCCATTGGCGGCATAAGATGTGCCGGAGAATCCCTCAACCCATGTCGAACTCCCTCTCAGCCATGCACACCCCACACATCCTGAGGATAGGGTGCACAGTTGTTAACGCTGCTACATGGAAACATGTCAAGAGTTCTGAGTTTTCAGGTGTAAAGCCATGCCAGAATACATATGCGTATTCAAGGGAGAGCTGTATGAATCCTTTATGAATAGTTTGTAAAACCAGGTGAGGTAGTTTAACGGAAGCTTGACTCGGAAATTACACTTACGATAGTCCACGCAGTCATCACAGTTGCAGTGATCGGCCGTGTCCCCACATTCTCCGGCACCGGAACAACAGGGTTGATGGCTGTCCTTGTTACACTGGCCGGGGGTGGCTAGTGGTGCCGGGAAACTTGGTCCGCATTTACCGTCAGCTCTCCACTTAGCTACAGGGAAAAACAGAAAATACATACGCTCACAACCATCCAATAATCGTATGCGTGACTTGTACATCAGGCAAAGAAGAGGACTTAATTTATACAAAAAGTTCAACACATTGTGAACTTACTTCCGCAAGTCCTGCCATCGGAGGCTAATGCCGTGCCTTCAGGGCACTCTGCAACGCATCGGGTACTGCCACTTTCCAAGGGGACGAACAAGTGCTTACAAGCTCGGCATTCTGTGTCGAGCTTCGATCCAGGGGACATTGGGATACATCCTGTATTTGCAAGGAAAAGGTCTGTCAAATTGCTGCAATCTGTTTAGGAAGCAAGGTCTTTTTAAAAGATCATTCAAATGTCATTACCGCGTTACCTAGCCCCATCCTCATCCTCCAAATGTCATTATACAAGGTTTAAAAAGGCTCACCTTCACATTCTGGGTGGCAGTCCTCCACACACATGCCGTCCTGCATAATAGTTCCCCCTGTACATTCCATCTCTGTTGTCCCTCCCTCGATGACACGGGCGTCCATGATCTCTACACTCTCTTCCCCGCTGCCGAAGGAGTAGAAACGAATGCCTAGTGGTGGACTCGCATCTGTGTAGACCATGTAGACTAACCCTTTCTCCTGTTGGTCGAAATTGTTCATTAATCTTTGTACAAACACATCAACAGCATCTACCAATACCACTATAACACCGGAATCGGTATAATAATTACATTACATGCATCATATGTCATACTCTGACCGTGATAACGTTCCACACGGGCGGGTGTTTTGCAATTTGTGTTTCCTCGGTCTGTTATGAGACGAATATATACCGTGACACCATGTATTCCCCATCACGCTTCATCCAGCCCTAACCCAGTTGGATTTACCTTTGACCGAAATTTCCTATTCCTTAAGCCCTTGTTGCGGTCTGAATGGACAGTAGGAACGCAGTTGGAGGAAGTGAGGGTTGGAAAAACAACAAAAGTTTGGATAGGCTATATGATGACAATATCATTAAAGATCCGACTGTTCCTCAGTGTATATGGTATCTAAAGGCTCACTCGGTGATTTATTCAATGGTTACAAGAAATGATGACCAGGCCTTCAATCCCAGTATTCACCTCGTGGCGGGTCATTGAAATTGGTGGGTTTCTCGTGTGGGCGATACCTAATACACAGTGTTTTATCTTCTTTAAAGTAACGTATTACTTACGGAAGTGTCTGAACCAATGCCATATTTGATGTAGGTTCTCATGTTCTCCATGTCTTCTTGCAGGCAAATGAAGTAAGGCTGGAATAGTTTGGAGTCACCGAGACTTCGGGCACTTTTTGCTCCTTCGTATTTTACCAACTTCATTCCCTGAGAAAGGTATGTTACACAATACAAGTCAGATAATGCAATGCCAGTCAGCGAGTATGTTACCAATACGTAGAGGAAACTTTGGTTGTATATGTCCATTTGTTGTTAGGGGAGCTCGCAGGAAATGATCACTGAGTGTATAAAATCCAAATTCAAGCATACCTTACCTACTAAATGTCATGAATATCCAAACCCAGACCCCAGCCACTCTACCATGGCACAACCAAAAAAAACTTCTTGTCGAAAGTACTAAGTACATATCGTGAATAGTGTTACCTTGTAGAGTGCGACGCCTTGAAAACTGATCTGCAGATGATACCAGGTGGTCATGTCCCTCGGAATGGCAGAGAACACGACAAAAATGTCTCCCTTTGACGCCGCAACGAAGTACAGGCACCTCTCTCCCTCCTCCGCGGGTTTGATTTGGTACGAGTTGGACCATTTTACACTACAGGGTGCCTCAACTATACTGGCTAATGCATTACTGGTAGGAAGAACACAACAGCATAACTTGTATATTCTACCCAACATACAATTTATATGTACTTGTGGGTGATTATGTGTTTTCACTCATCTCAGAGTATATTTATTCCCTTAGGCCATGTTGATTTGATTATATGGATGACATCCTCTGGGAACCCCAAAACTGATGCGAGCGTTTGGCAAAAAAAAAATTTCTTTCATTATGAAATCTAGGTGATTATGAATGTTAAACAAATGACAAAGAGTATGGTATGGTGAATAATCTAATCTTTAAATTCATTTCTTTACATTTTCGCCTTTTTCGTTTGATTTTGGCATTCTACGACAATGGTATCGTTTTCGAATATTTTTTTTGGCAACTTACGGTATATATTTGCTCATTTTTGCATCTGTTTTGGACGATTTGCAGCATGGTTGAAAACTTTTTTTTTTGGAAACGGCCGAAAATTGATGCGCGCGCGGATGTCATCCATATAATCAAATCAACATGGCCTTACCATTGACAGGACAAAAGCGATTGACTGAAACTAAATGTCTATATCATTTGCCTCCTTGGTACGTACATTGGAGGTTATCATTTCTTTCAACCAACGATGACCACGTTCAATGCACTGTCCTGATTGCTGTTTACACTGTGCGATATACATGTATGATTTAATCACATTCAAAGTGATTCAAACTACATTACCCTTTTGCCTTGGCGTGCTCTAGCGGGCTGACATATTCCGCTCTGGCAACATTTGAGTTGATGTAGCTGCGAGGCAAATCCCTGAAAATCTGTAAGGACAAGACCAACAATAAATCGTTCGATTCAAACATTTTTTTCTAAATCAAAACATTCTGTACACTTTCAGTATTTCCTTCTGTATTCCATTCATGATACTGTGATCATTATCATGCAAAAGACTAAGTGAAAAATGAGTACCCGACTGGAAGCTTCATGGTCTGGAGGTGTGACAACAAACGTTCCACTTTCTTCCAGATACGTCATTACAAAGCCAAAGCAGGAGACCTGAGTGCGAAAATTCAAAGTTTCATAAATGTCAAAGCTAAAATTATGCAAAGTATTTTTGTACTACAAGTATGCTATTGAGTTCATTGTAAATGATAATCGTGAGCAGCTATGGATTTGATAATCTGTGAACAGCTATGAACAATTGGTGGGAACAGCTACGGGAAGATATCATGAGTGAACCACTTAGAAGTCGATGTAAACCGCTATATATTATATGAGTTGTGGTCAACAGCAATAGAGTTGGTGTGACCAGCTATGGAATTAATGCGAACAGCTATGGAGTGAATGTAGTTGATTATAACTGAACTGCCATAGCCATAATGTAATTAGCTATGAAGTTGTGTCAGTGAAGGTTAGACATCCAGGTAATAAGATACGGCAAAGAGCAGTTACTCAAGCAACTGGGTATGATTTTGGAAACGGTCAGACGTTTCAGGTAGCATCCACTTCCTTTCGTCAGTGACATTAACGGACTGTAGGAGAATTGCAGGTTTATATGCATCACCTATTGACTGATATGCAAGTAAGTGACAAATGTTTGATTTAGATGCAAATAAGTGACATTTTTTGAAAGTCCAAAAGGAAACAAGTGTCCATATGCGACAATTCTCCGAGAAGTTTTATATTTTGCAGATTGAGAACAGTAATAGTGTATGTAAACAGTGTGTGATCACTTAACAACTGGTAACAACGTATAGTAAAATTGGCTAAATCCCTGGTCTAATAATCTAGCCTGAGTAAAAAAATCACGCTCCTGATGGCCACCTGCCCAGAGGTTTGCCGCCCCCTTGGGGAAACAGTTGCAGACTGACTAGTGTAAACACAGGCTACATAAAATCAACAACACGACAATCTAAATAGATGAACAAAGTCAGCTTTCATAACAATATATTTCATTTACTACATATTATTCTTTTGACAAGGTATCGCAGTAGGTGCAAACCACAATTCCAAAAGATACTCGCCACCATAATGCACAACAGCCACCTAATATCTGCTTAGAGAACCTCTGCTACCAGAAAACTACCTAAACCTACGGCCTATTCCACAGGATTGTAAAAGTAGGGATGTTTCTAAAATATGCATTTACTTCAATATCAAAACTGCTACGGTGAAAATAAAAAGACGTGCATCACCAGTTTCACCCATTGTTGTAAACCTGTACATAGAGACGTTTGGAAACAAAGCCCTTTCAATGACACCCCCAAGCCAACTGGTTTCGATATGTGGACGACACTTGAAAAAAGGGTAGCTGTTGATTTCTTTGATCACATCAACCAGATAGATGGCAACATCAAGTTCACACAGGAACCGAGTCATAACAACAAAACTATCGTAGAGAAAGATGGCAACCTTCGTTTTGAAGTTTACAGGAAACCGACCCAAGGTCAACATCACTATTCCGTATGTCCGAGGAGAATCCGAAAAACTCTGACGGAACTTCCAAAACTTCAACATTGCCACAAATTTCAAACCTCATTCAACCCTCAGACAAACACTGGTATATCCCAAGGACCGACCACGCAAAGGTATCAAGGCTAAATGTCATTTACAGACTCAAATGTGAAGAGTCTAAATGTGAATGTCTACATCGGAGAGACCAGTCGGCCACTGAAGGTAAGGTACATGCAACATTGCAGACCTAGCGCCAACGGCTACTCTTCAGCCATTTCCCTCCACCGACAACACAACCATGGTCACTCTTACACTGTGAAACCCGCTGGTGGGAACGAGAACTTAGGCAATATATGAAAGAATGTACAACCCCACCCTCAACAGGGAGGAGGTGGGGGGTCTACGGGTAGAACTCTCGGGCATTTGTATTTGACGCTCCCGGCCCCAAGGACAGACAACACTTAAGCTCCTGTCCTGAAACAACAGGTGCTTCCTTCAATAATTTGCATCATCCTTGTCTTGACTTGTCCAACTTTTGTTTCCTTTTCGACTTTCAAAATATTTGGCTTCGCTTATTTGCAAATCAAGCATCCAGTATATCTTCTTTTGCACATGGTTCATAAAATAGGTCCTATCCTCGTCAATTTAAGGTGACATATTGTGACAAAAACCTAGACACTGGTCTTGCACTGATTGTAATTATTGATTTCAGATGCCTTTACATTTTCGGAAATCGTCGTCAGTACATAGTACATTTACTGGCTGTAGCACATATCTTACAATCATATGAACGAGAGATTTACCTTTTTGCTGTTGGTGTCTCCACTCCCACCATTTTTAAAGCTGTTGTACATGTGGAGTTCGGTCCCAGGCGCGTGACAGTTCCATCTATTGGAGAAAAATGTCACAGTGATGTCTGTTGCTCTTACAGGGTTCTAGCTAGGATTTAATTTTAGCGTAGTGGTACTGGTCGCATATCAAGAGAGCGAAGCGACCGAGAGGGGGGATGGGGCGGAGCTTTTTAAAAAATTGAGCTAAAAAAGAGGCCATTTGAGGGATAACCAAAGGGAAAAAAATGTTATTTCTAATGTACAATGTATCCTTGATTGGTAATTTGTCACATTTGATCTGGCATTCTTGAGCAAAGAAATATGGTCACAATGCCGCTAAGCTGTATTGAAAATTTAGCGTAGGGGGTGAAAATTATAGCGTAGGGGGCCCCTACACTACTTCGCGCTAGCTAGAACCCTGTCTTAGATCTATTCAACTTCCAAATATGTTACAATGATGCGTATAAAAATAGCAATCGAGTTTCTATACCTATTTCGCGAAAAAACTATTAAGGCCTCTGTGTTCTTCGTAATGTCGTAGCTGATTCCTTCAGGAAGATCAAAGATGACCTACAGATGAAATATCGTAAAAATACATTACTATTGTGGATATGGACATTCTTGTAATTATCTTTGGAAACAGCATGCTTGGTACCTTATTGCTTTGATATTCAGAATATAACAGTAACATTTGGCCAGGTCAAATGAGTTTTAGTGAGCATTTATACTTGACGTGGATGCAATGCTTTCTGACTCTGGAGTTCTCTCCTACCTTGTAAGTTTCTCCATTGATGAGTTCCAGCCATGTGGGGAAGGTAGCTCCACTAGTGCCCCCCTTCACTTTTAAGGCTTGGGATGTGCATCCAGGTTTGCCCCCCTCCAGGCGGAAATCGGTAGTGGGGACTGGTCCCTATTGAAGAATAACAGGGCTTATTGAAATAATTGCACACGGAATGTGCTGGAACGATGTGGTTGGTTAATTAATTCAGTCATTGCAAGAGGCTAAAATTGTACATTAATTTTATAAAGATGTTTCTAAAGCTCACATGTATATATTTCATTTCGTAACATTTAACAATTTCTTATTTACAGCTGTTGTTAGAGTGCACGGGGGCGTGTATATGACTCAAAGCGGCAATTATTGCCAGGATACGCAGTGCGAATATTGCAAGTTCTCAATTTTTCGTTTATAGAAACAAAAAATGTTAGGAAAAGCTCGTTCCTTTTCGTTGATGACAAATTAGTCCTAGGATTTAAGCAGGTGTCATATTTCAAAATTAAAGGTTAATGACCCTCCTATTCCTCAGTGTACGTGGTGTCATAATTAGGCCTGGACAGGTCATTTTCTATAACCACAAATCAGACCACCGAGTGATCAAGTAATTAAACATGATACTATTCTGCATTTCCATTTTGCGCAAGTTTTCTCTTATACTAACTAAGTTTTCTTTTTTTACTTTAAAAGACTGAGGCCAGGGCTAATAGAGTTGGCCCTTTGGGAACAAAACAGTGTCGCGTCATATATTGTGTGAAGAGCATATCTTCGAGCCCAAACACACATCCATCAATGTTCAACACCATTTGAAGTAGTCATCAACAATAAACAAACACGATGAGTTGATATTTTATAATGCTCTCACATGTATCATTAAAATAAGTGGTATACACCATACCTCTTCCATGTAAACAACTATTGCCCTTTCCAGTGCGAGTCGTTTCTGGTCCATTGCTTCTCCAAACTTGTCAACAGATGTAACGTCACAGTACCTTAGATTTAAAGAGGAGCATTACTATGGAATATAAGGGATTTCTTTTTTACACAACCAAAAGATCATACCTTGCTGACGTTTCTGTCAAACATCTTCCATAGACCTTCTGACTTGAGTTCTGCTTCTCGCCATTATATGTAGCCGATCGCGATGTACATATAGGTGGCGCTTTTGCGGTATGACTTTTTGCTTGTGTAAAAAAGAAATTATCAACCTGATGAAACTATTTTCGGAGGATTTTTTTATATTCCAACATGTAATCACAAGGCGTGCTGACGGCACACTTGTACTGTAATGCCGCCACCAACATAGCGTACAACGCAACACAACACTCATTCACCTGTGCGAAGTGAAAAGTCGTGTAAAATGCATTTCCCAAGGGCACAAGATCAGTGACATGTAAGGCCTCGAACCCGGGACCTCTTGGTTCCGAGTCGAGCACTTTACCATTACATCACACAACCCCAAGGATAGTAATTCGATTTCCGCCTGGAGGCGGGCAAAGCTGGATGTACATCCCAAGCCCTTAATATTGTTAGTACCTCAGGCATTGAAATCACTAAGATGTTTGGCGTGGAGAGGTCGCAGAAAATAGAAGCTATCTCATTAGGTTATATAACACTCACCAAAATACCAAAACATATGTCATTACTACATGTACCTCTGAATAAGTTCCGTTTTCAGCAGACATCAACTAGTTGTCATGATGAATGATTTCATCTTGTAATAATTTCAGATTACCTTTTCTCATTTACAGGAGTCATCACTCCTTGGGTGTTGTTGACCAGCGTGGCAACCTCGTAATACTTCCTTCCAGTGCCTTCCTCGGTCCTGAGGCTATGAATTTATAATTAGAACATGAAAAGGTTATACACAAAGCATACTATCTAGACAAAAATAATCATTTTAAAAGAGCATCTATTCACTAGAAAAATCCTATGTTCAGTTTTCCTCCATTAACAGCAATTCGTTAATTCCACCAAGGACATTATAATTGCCCGTACAGAGATGACAATTTATGTAGAAAGGTTAAGATGCTGATTTATATTAGAATGTCAACTTGGAAGTTTGAATATTTACTTTTCACTGAAGCATCCGTCTGCAGCATCTCCGATTTCGAAGGGGAAGAGGAGTTTGTAGTTCATGTCCAGCAGTTCTGACATGGTGCCCATGAACATCTCGACGGGTTTGGGGTAGGTGGGGATGGACTTCAGCCACTCGGTGAAAGTTTCTTTGAAGCCGGTCGAGTAGAAGTCAGCGACGATGGAGGCAACTTTCTGGTCGCCTCCTTCAAGTTTCACATGTGTGCGGGAAGTTTTGTCAGACGATCTGTAATATAACAGGTGTCGGTTTGTTAAAGAACTACAAAATATCCCTCTTTTTAATGACTTGGCTCTAGAGCAATATCATTCTGTGTGAGGGAACATGTTTGTGTGCCAACAGGAAAAAGACATTAGTAATAGATAATCTTATTTGTTGGTATCTTGGTACATCAAAGGATGACAAAGCTCACCAGGAAGTTAATCTTTCACTTGGAATCACTGGAATGAATCTACGGCTGACCGCTTTCAGTGTTATGTTTGGGGATTTAACCGACAATTGTTCAATATTGTCCAACTTGATTATTCTGTTAGACTAAAATTTACATCTTTAGAAATCGCCAATGCCCTCTTAAACTATCCTCCTTTATATATTTTGTAGCATATTTTTGTAAATTGGAGTTTATAATTGCAAATAGAGAGAGGAAAATACACAAGCATATGGGCAAGTGGGGAAAGTTACACCTTAAATTTTGTTCTTAAATTGTTCTTTTTGACTCGACGTATGGTAATGGAATTGAGACTTTTGAGTTACTTTGTTAACTAAACTTTTATTTACTATGTGTTACAGTTTCTTTATGTTTTAGATTGATATTATGAATAAGTATTAATGAATTGGTTTCTGGTATGAGTTTGTTTCTGTTCTTGTAAAACCTGTGCCATGCAAGTCTGTGTATTGTACTTGTTTTTTTTTAAATCTAATAAAAATAACGTGGAAAAAATCTTTCACTTGTTGTGACAGGGAAGACAATCAATATATGATATATAACCTTATCCCACAAGGCCTTTGACAAGAAAAAAATGGTTTCCATACGAAGCTCCACTAGACTGTGACATTCCCATGTGACCGGAAACGGCGAAAAGGCCATTGTAAGAAGCTTGGGCCTGGATCGAAAAATCCTCAATACTTTCACTCTTGGAGGCCTGTTGGGTCTTAAAAAGCCTGAAGGAACCACCAAACTTTGCTGACTTGATGAAATGAGTTCCATAGCGGATGATGAACTTTTCTGTGAAGAACAAATGATTGTCTGAGTTCACAGTTACAGCTCTGCTTTGTAGAAATTATAACAACAGTTTTCCTCTCGTTTGCGTAGCAATATATCTTAGTACTTTTCTGAGAAAAATTACATTCATGACGAGAACTTACGAAGTTTTGCCTTCCCCTCGATGAAATTTTGGGGAAGAGACAGGAAGTCGCGCAAGAAGGCCAGACTCAGGGTATCCGGCGTGATTTCATCGAGGAAGATTTCATACCTGGAGGTAAATTTCACCATGGATCAAACCTAATCTCATCAACCGAGGTCATTGTCCTATTAACGCAAGGTCGAGAATACTGATATATATGCATTATTGTTTGAAGCGAGGGGTCACAACCCCGCCGTACGTGCAACTGCGTGCTATCTACTTGCAAAAAGTGGATAAAATCCGTGCGGAATCCAACGGATTTGGGAGCACGCAGACACGCCGTAGCACTTTACGTAGAACTTACTGTAGAACTTTCTCATGCTCGCGGCCGATCGTGGCGTGCAGAGCATGTACTTATACCTTGCACAACCGTGCAAGTGACGTGCGTTAGCGTACACCCTGCCTACTCTTGCCAGTCCTCCACGTTTTCAGAAAAAAATGCGGGCGTGGCTTTCCAAAAACATTTACAGACAAAATACACGTAAGGCGGGTTGTGACCCTCGCTTATGGGAGGGTCAAGGTCATGATTAATCTACAAATTTGCATCATAAACAAGACTAAAACTCTTCGGCAGTAGAGCAATACTATAAAAGAACATGATAAAGCACACTCACCTGATCACATTGCACTCAATAAGGGACATGAACGACTGTTTCTGGCCTGATTCTTTTTTCCCATATGATGCCTCAACGGCAGCCTGTACAGAAATTCAATTCAATATCAGCAATTCCTACAGCCTGGGGACCATCCTATTTGTAAGCCAGGGCTCCC